AGTCTCATATAATAAATAAAATGATAGGCCAAAATTTACGTTTTCTTCTGTATATAATGGGGTAGATCTATTATTGTGAGACAAGTAACCACTAATCACAAAGAACATTGAAGAGTGACCCCTTACCCAGGTTCCTACATGAGCTTCCAGTGCAGTATAGTGGCAACATCTTTTACCTATCAAAGCCAACCAAAATATTTAAAACAATAAAAATATATATAAAAAAAAAAAGGCCCACAATAAATACATAAAACCACAATTCTCAACCCTTGTAACAAAACAGAAAAAGGGGGATTTATAAAACTATTGTACAACAGAAAGGCTCATAATCACTTTCCTCAAGTAAAAATACACGCGCTTTTACGTTTCGATCAGAAAGGATAAGGGAAAAATGAAAATGAAAAAGACGCTGTTAAAAGGGTCACTTAGTAGAATGGTTTCAGGTTCATACAGAGAGAGATGGCGAAAGGCCGAATTCGAGTCCCCACAGCTCAAAACTCCCATTTACAAAGTCATAGTAACCGCCCTTTAGCGCAAGTGTTTTGTTCACCAAACCTTGTCGAACAAACGGGTAAGAAAGCAGATTTCCGAGCGAGACATTCACCGCCTCCTGTTTTGCATGAATATTAGGATAAAAAAACTCAGAGGTGAATCAAGATTAATTTCATATTTAGGAATTACAAGTGATATAATGTAGCTATTAAAATTCATTATCTGTTCATATTATGATAAGAAATTGTTCGCGCACTGGTCACCGAAAGGTGTGAACTTGTGGTCGGTCAACACTTTGGACTTGGCCGGTAAGCAGATTTTCACCCAGTCCTCGATAAATTCACTGAATATTATTCATCACAAGAAAAAATGGCTTTAGTGATGAATTGACACCAAAGTAGTCCCTGTTTTTCTTCATTTTGCTTGCATGTAATAGTTACTTTTTCAACAAGTGTAAATAAAATGAAACACAGAAACTCATTTAGTTTCAAATCACATGCAATTAAACCCCTTGTATGCAATCAGATCTGTTTAACATATGCACATATTTTCAAATTGAAATGTCAATTACCCTAAAATCCAACATAAACAAAAATATGACATGTCACAATATAAATATGTATTTTTATTACAAAAGTATAATAATTCGACCCTCCCAACGACAAGGCTTTCTCCAATAAAAATTTATGAAAAAAGATTTACATAGAATTTAGCCAGATAGACGGCTTACGTGGATGAAGAGCCATCAAATTGGAAGGACATGAGACCCTTTATTCCTCCACAAGCACTGTGCCCAATCACCACAATTTCTTGCACCTGCCCAATTGCCATATCCATATTTTTATTATTATTTTATTCAAGATTTCACAAAAACATACAGAATACTTAACACTGTCACTAAAAATTATTATAAGAAACAATAATTAGCCTAAAAAGGGATATTATTAGTCTCTCACCTTGAGGTGCAGAACAGCATACTCAATGGCAGCCCCAATTCCAGAGTATTTGGTCTGTTTCACCACAAATCATTTCAAATCATCAAATCATTAATTAATTGTGTTAAATTAACAAAAAAGTTAATTAACATTTCAAAATTAAGTCCAATATTAAAATTATTTCATATTCAAGACCTTATCATATGGAGGGACCATGTTAGCAACGTTGCGGACCACGAAAGCCTCTCCCGGTTGGAAGTCCAGCACGTGTGAAGGGCACACGCGCGAGTCCGAGCACGCAAACACCATATACTGTGTGGACATAAAATTAATTTGCTCGCATTAATAATCTAAAAAATATATAAAAAGAAAAATCCTAATAATTACTTTCTTATATATTTGAAATGAAAGGCAAATTAATAATTAGGCAGATAATTATTTGGTACCTTGGGACTCTGGCCTTGGGCAAGTTCGGCGTACAAAGCTGGATTTTTTCTAGAAGAGCCAATGTATTTGTTATAAGTTATAACTCAAATTAATTAACTACCAATGTTATAATTTAATTTAATTAATTATCACTTACTCATATTTCTCTCTCTTGAAGTGGATGAAACCGGTTTTCAACCTCTCGACGGACTCCGAGACGGTGGTGGCGGTGGTGGCGCTGCTGCCGTTGGCTGTTTGCAGCTGAGCTTTTATTTCTCCGATTTTGGCGGTGGTCACCGGTGCGAGGTCTTCCTTCTCACTGCATGCACCCAAAATTTGGGTTACTTTTCTATTTTTATTCTTGAAAAGATGCTAATATTCTTATATTCGGTATTTCGGGAAATTAAAATAAAGAAATAAATGGAGATGAAATTTGTGGTCTCATTAGCTGAAAATTTGACCCATGTAGAGGTTGGGTTTCTCCTTCTCAATCAGTAAATACACGTATTTATACAGTATGTTAATTTAATAGTGAAAATCTCAAATTTAATAGTGAAAATCTTCACTAATTTAGCTTAATCATAATTTATATGAACCTTAGAAGCTTTTGGAGTGCATCGATGGCTTCTTCATACGCGTCCTTTCCCATGTCTTCTTTCTGCAATAATAATAATAATAATAATAATAATAATAATAATAATAATAATAATGTTACATCCAAGGGCCACGCATTATTTTTGTGCACTTCATGTGAATATGCCAC